GGAATGGCTTTGGCTCCTCAAACTCTATAGGAGCCTAGCTTCCTATGAGTGCTCTTGTCCTGTTGTTTTTCTCTGCTACTGTCCATTTTCATTGTGTTCATATATTCCAAGTTCCAGGTGTTGGTTATGATGATTTCTTTCCTGTGGAAGCAAGCTTTTTGCTTAATTTTAAGTCTTACATAAATCAAACATCTAAGAAAGTGTATATGAATATGACCTCATTTTTCCCTCCTACCTCCCCCCACACACTTCCCCAGTTGACATGTTTGTGCAAATGTTGGAGATGAATAACGTAAATAGACTTCTTTACCAGTGATAGCTTATTAAAATAGCATGGGTGTGTGAATTTCTATCGCTAACCGGGAACCCTGCTGCTTACCAGTTGCAATGCCATACATGCATTATTCAGCAGCTGAAAAAGCCCATTGTTCCTGTGTTCTGGAATTAATCAGCTGAGTATGAAAATTATCTGTCACCAAAATATCATGTTTACTCAGTCCATCAAAACAGCCAGCACTGACGGTGGTTGGATTTCCTCTGCAGAGCGCTACACGCTAAAATAGTTGTTTATGAACGCAATGGAGACCTAGCGGTGTTAAGGAGAATGCAAGGAAGCAATCTTTTTCATCTGTCTGTGAGCAGGAGTTTAAAGCCTGTTGTGGAGGGAAGAAAGATGAAATGCACAGAGCGGGGAGCACCTGTGAGTTATAATTCAATCAATCTGAAATGCATAGTGTTATTGTGACAGATCTAAATCCGACTTTCAGGCTTAAGTGTTTTCCAGCTGCAGCAGAAGCATGTGAGGTCCTTGACTTCATTATTTTGCTTCCATGCAGTTTCTGAGCTGTGGTACTTTTCTTTACTGAAAGCTGTGGCCTTTCTTCCGTTTCTCTTCTCCTGGCCCTTGACCTCTTCACTACATTTGCTCCCCTTGTTGCCAAAGCAGAAGCATTTGAACATCTGTCCTTGCCTATTTTCACCACCCTGCTGTATCAGATTAAGGAGGCCCAGGGCTGAGCTATGCGGTGGTACATCTCAAAAAAGACCATTGTGGACAGTCTGATTGAACTGGGAGCCCTGCGTGCACAATAACAAAATGAAAAACAAGAAGTCTGTAAAGGAGAAGAGTGCCCTATTTGGCTATTTTCTTTTTTTTGGGGGGGGAGGGGGGATTCAATTTCATTTTTACACATCATTTTCCCAACATACGTATGTATGTCCTTAAACAGGATCCCAGTTCTTCATACACAAATGCATTTATTTGCTCATCTGGGAAACAGCAGCTTTGTGAACAGGGATGAAGGATGTGGATGTTGCTGTCCCTGCTGGATATCCTGGTCCTTGCAGAGCCCCAGGGGGCAGAGGCAGATGTTCAGCAGCAAGGTGCTGCCTGCATCTTTATCTGCAGAGGCACTCATTTCAGTCTCTCGCCTTTAATTTGCCCAGATGTTGATTTTAATTAAGCTCCTCAAGTTTCACGGTCTTTGAGATCTCTTTCACTCCGTCAATTTGTGTTGAAGCTGACAGGCAGTGTGATCACAGACCTGCTTCTTCCTAAATTCAGGCTAATGTACGTGAGCAAATGTGACTATTTCCAAGCAGGGTTAATGCATTCACCTGGGGTGTGAGATATCAGCCATGTCGCATGTTATCCATCTGACCTTGAATCTGGGAGTGCCATATGCTCGCTGATGCTGGTAGCAATTTTTTTCCCCTCGTTCACTTCAGTGGGTGTCTGATCAGGGTCTTAATCTGTGTGTGCCTGTAATCCCAATCAGCAAATGGGCACACTCTTCGCTTTATTTAAAATACAAGCTTCTCATGATTGTCCTTTGTGCAAATTCCAGGACAATGTGGGGGTGGATGCCACTTTCTGGATCACCTGTTCCCAATAATGAAGACAAAGCCTTGCCACCCATGCCTCAGGGATGCTCCTATTGGGGATTTTCAGAGCATGCCCATGTCTTATAATTGTAGCAGCGTGCCTCCATGGCCATGTCTTACAGTTGTATACCTAGTGTGCCCAAGGCAGAGAGCATAACCCAGGGAATAAGTTGGCCTTGTTCAGTGGGACATACCTCCTCTAGCACTCAAGCAACTATCTCCATCTTTGTCTTTTCTGAGCGTGATCAATCTTTGCAAGAATGTTTTAAGAATATTCTCTTTAAATTTCCCATGGAGAAAAATGGTTAATTTTGCTGGAGGAAACCTAGAGAATATTAGTGGCTTTAAAAAGTACTGAAAGAAAAGAGAGAGAATGATGACAATACCAAAAATTCCAATTAACGCTTTTGGAAAAAAATCTGTTCTCCTCAGATGTGTTTCTCTGATCTTTTGACTGAGACCTGTGTCGTGGGTCTGAATGCTGGTATCTCTGCTCTTTCCATATACAGTGTGTCCCTGGCCTGGTTATTTGAATTCCCTAAGCCAGAAACTGCTTCATTCATTGCAGATATGTCAGCTCTGCTCCAGGCTCTGTAATAATAACTCTTTCACTTCAGCTGATGAGATCTAGATATCAATCTTGCTGAGGTCACCAAAGGAAAAAAAAAAATGAGCTTGGTCACTTCTCCATTGAAGATTCAACATGAGCCATTTATCTTCACCTAGGGGGTCTTGTTTTATCTGAATTGCACAAAAAAAAAAAAAAAAAAAAAAACACATCTGAGATTTTTCTGAAAATAAAAAAAAAAACCCTCCTTGACACCATTCATTTTTGGTACCTACAATGTCATAGGGATGAAGTAGCAAAAAGCGTCTCGCTTTATTAATGCCAACCGTGTCTGTTAGAGAGAAGCTATGAGTCTGACCTGAGCTCTCCTCAAATGCAAAGAACAAAATCCCAGTACCCAGAGATGTTACACAGAGCCTGTAACAGCCTTTTCTCTGGTGCTTGCTAATACTGAGCGGAGAAAACGGAGTAAATGAATTCAAGTCTGTTTATCCCCATCTGGTTAGATGATGTGTTATTGGCAGGCCTGGCTGAATTTGCTTTGTGTGGCACCTTATACAAGACACCTAAGGCATATGTCTTCCAGATAAAAGCCAAGTCCCCTGATTAAAGGGTCGAAGCAGAGTGCTGACAGTAGGAAGATGAAGCAAGCTGTTACTGAGCTCTGCAGAGGGATGGGAGTGGAGATTTCAGAGCAAGACAGTGAAAAGCTGAGAAAAGATGCATTTCTTCCAGGCAGAGATACACACACTGCTGAATGAGACTCAAAATCCTACCTCCATTCACCTCCAAAATACAAACCAGAGAGAAACTCCCACCAGGGCGCAAGTTTGAACGTAGGGAAGCTGTGGGTCAGTGCTGTGCTGCGCTCCTGAAGTGGGTCCTATGGATGTCACCAGGTCCACCAGTTGTCTCCACCACCACCTTTCCATCCTTCCTCACTCCCATCCTCAGGCAAGCTGTGAGGAATGCAGGTCATGAGCACGTGGGATTTGGGCTGACCCAAGAAAGGCACCAACCATTATTAGGTGGCACCAACCATCATTAGATGGCTGCCAAGCTGGACCAGCACAAGTATTGGGGACCAAGGGCATCCCTATCATTTCTCCTTCTCCAGTCTGTATCGTCTATTCCTGCAAGGTTTTGCTATTATATCTCCCCTGGGAACAGCTTTGAGTACCTTCTGGATGTACAGAGCTGAATTTTTCCTGGGGGAGCAGTTTCCATCTCCATGGGCAGCCCTCAGCCCATCCCACTAAGAGTGGCTCCATGCCTGGGGAGCGGCTTTTGGTGCACTGTGTAAGAGGCTGGTGTACAGCATCCCCAAAGCAAAGATTAATTAATGAGTGTTTGCACAGCACTTCAAAAGTGTGAAGAGCCGTATAGACGTTGCTAAGTATCATTGTTAATTATGATTAGGTGCAATATTTTAATACACCAATATTGCGTAGTAAATAGTGTGAAAAGCAAGAGCTGAAGATCAGCAGCTGCTGCCATTTTATCCTTACATCTGGAGATACACTGACCCAGTAGACACAAGGAGGTCTGGGGGTCCAAAGGGTGTGTGTAGTAGGTGTCAGAAGCCAAAAAGTTGTTTAGGTGTTAACCACCCTGGCACAGACTGTTTGTAAGGAGTGGAAAGAAGGCAGAGCAAAATGGTGTTTTGAAACAAAACAAAACAATACAGCACATAGGAGATTCTAGCAGCTGAATGAACATAATTTCGGTGGCCCATTTTAAGGAAACCACCACCTCACCAGCCTTCACACCTCACCAACAGCAATGCTTCTGCCAAATGCATGTTTTTCAATAGCAAGTTTTATATTTTTGAGTGCTAAAAAGGGTGACACCAGCCTGAGGACTGTCCCCAAGCAGCCACTTATAGGTTTTCCCTTCTGTCTGGGGAATGCGTGCTGTTCATTGCAGGGGAGTTGGTCTAGATGATCTTAAAGAGTCCGGTCCAACAGAAACGATTGTATGATTCTATGTTTCTACAGTTTCCACCCAGGGTGTCCATGCCAATGTTCCTCGTGGTTCTTCAGCTGGGAGGACAGGGACAGACTTGGGAGGTCAGCACTCAGCTACCTGGGTTTGGGTTTGTCTGCAGACTTTAGGGTTTGTGCATCCACCCATCAATCACCTCAAAACGGGGAATGCTGCTCACCACCGTCATCTCCCCTCCACCTCCATCTGCCTCACTACTCAGCAAAGGAGCTGTAAATCCAAGGATTAAGTTCTTGAGCCAACACATCTGACAGACTTGCAGTGTTAGGCAAAACCCTGCTAAAGTCAAACAGCTGAGTATTCCTCAGGCTGGGGCCCTGCTTTCTCAGTTCTTCACTTTCCTTACCTGTAGGGCTGGGGGACAGTAATTTCCATTATGAAACAGGCTGAGACGTATGGCTGTAGGGCCTAGAGCCTACTGGAGTTAACTTTTATTAAATGGATTCTGAAGGCCAGGAGGACCGATGTGATCGATATGTCTTCTCCACATAACCTACTTCTGCACAATTTTGTACTGATCCTTTAACTCCTATTTTAGGTCTGACATATTGTTTTAACCTGTGCCTTCATCCACACTGTGGACCTCCCAAAGAATGGATCGGGCACTTGGTGCTGTTGATACAAGGCTTGATGCAAGGGTGAGTTTGTTCATATTTGTAAGGGGCCATAATTTGATGGCTGAAGGGGCAGGTGTATCAATCAGTGGTGTATGAATGCTATCAAAATTCAGATTTGCCATAGAAAAGGGAAAAGGGGAATCGGTACACAATGAATCTACTTAACATACATAGAGGGAAACTTGCAGGGAGTGAGCTGCTCTGCTTCCTCTCCTTTCTGTCGCTCATGCCTTATTAATAATGCTTGTGATGTTAATTTTCCTCTCACATAAATGACAAATACAAAGGTCTGACTTATGTTGTTCTTGCAATACAAAGATATATACACAGCCTCGGAGAGAAACTCTGATCATTCCTTCCCCCTGGTAAACGTAAATATTCAATAATTAATATTGAATTTTTGGAAGGCTGATCTGTTCTCTTGATCTCTACAGCATTCTGTTGACCCTGTCAAGTGTTATAGGCAGCACGATATTGAAAACAGGGCCTGGTCTGTAGCTGAATGTACCAAGTGAAGCTATTCAATCTCAGTCAGAAGGTGATCTATTAACCAGCTCAGAGCTGTCATCACTGCATTACTGCCTTGCTGAAGAAGCAGCACTCTGACTACACCCCTCAAGCAGTGATTTGGGAATTTCTTGTCCTGTATCTGTTCATGGGAGTCCTTAATCTTTCCCATTCCAGCTCAGAGAGTTCTTGACCAAGCCAGTGTGGGGTGGCAGGAGAGCATGGGCTTCCTGAGCTATGCCCACTCCTGCCCCAGTGCTGCTGAGTACCTTTGGGACTCAAGAGCATCACTGTCAAAACAGCCATGGAGGAGGAACACAGAGAAATGAAAGGAAGGAACAGATTCCAAAACATGCTATTTTGAGGATAAACATTTAAAAAAAAATAATCCAAAGATCCAGCACAACAAAATTCCTCCCTGGACTCCCTAGGGACTTCATCTCCTTCCTTGCTTGACCTCTCATAACACTGCTAAACTATAAATAAACTTGTGATAGTTATGACACGAGCCAGGCTGCCAAAGCAGCGTGGAAAGGGGATGGAAATGCTATGAGTGATCTCTGCTATCCGAAGTGCTACTTCACAGTATTTCTTCCTAGTGACCAAGAGGAGGGGAAGCACAGACCCAAACAGGTGAAAAATGTCTTTTTATTCTGTTCCTTCAAATTCATCCCCTTCTTTAAACTGCTTTAAAATGTATAGGTGCTTTTCTGCCTGTAAATAAATTGCTCTTTTGTGCAATAAACATGTAAATTAGACTATTGAGCATCTTAGATACAAAGTATTTCCTTTCAGGTACCATAAATATTGCAGTGTTGCCCCTGTCTGCGTTGGCAAAGTTTCTGTCTCATAATCAAGACATAGGAAGACTCATTCTCACAAAAGCATACCTTGTTCCCCAAAAATGTTCTGTTGTATGTTACCAGTCAATCCTTTAAGAGTCTGTAGGCAGACCCTTCCTGCAATAAATCGGTGTCACTCCACTGAAGTCAACGGAGATTATATAAATTGAGGGTCTGACTCCATGTGTGTGTCTCCCACTCCCTTATGCATGGTGTGTTTTAATCAGCTGAAGCAGAGAGCTTACTGTATAACCTATTTGAGGAAGGAGAAAAAATAACATTAGAGAAGTGATCTTCTTTATCTAGGGCATGGATTTTCTGTTTGAAGCCTGGGATTGCAATGATGACTGAAAAACAGCTTGCTGGCGAATGTTTGCGGGTCTGTTTGCAACTGAGAAGAATGACATTCTTTTAAATATTCTAAATAAATTTTCAAGGCTTGCTTCTTTATAGAGTGTATTCTGGTGGTGGCATCTCTGACCGCAGGAACGTTACTTGTATGATGCTGTGCTCCGGAGTTCTGCGTTCTGACCCATTACTGCATCAAAAATGAAGAGATTGAATTTAGTTCCAATAAAATTGCATTAAGCTTGCAATAGATGTTTTTTATTTCCAATTGGATATGGCAGCTCCCTTCTACACAAAAGAACAAATTACAGTGTTTCCAACAAAAACCTCTGGAGGTCCTATTTGTGACCTTGCCTCTAGAGCTTCTAACAATGTCCTATTGAATTAGGTTCCTATTTCTTTATCAAACATTCCTTCCAACTAGTATTGATGAGTAATTATGAATTGGCAACACTTAAATCTTTCTCATGCAACGGGAGCTAGATGGTCCAAACCATCACTGAGATGATCTTTCTTTCACAAAGAGATGATGTTCAGTAGAGTTTGATATTTATCCATTACTATAAAAGATGGACATTTTGAACACATTCTTGCTTTTGTAGCTGAGCATCATAATTACAAGTAGACATGACTTGAATTTTTCTATGAATATTTAACATCCTGTGTTCAGCAAGTTTTCCAGAAAACAATTTACAGGACAGGAGTTTAATTTTAAAACTGTTTGCTCTGCCCATCTATTACTTCCATTGGGTGGTTCCATCAGGTTGGATATCAGGAAACAGCTCTTCTCAGAAAGAGTGGTGATGCAGTGGCGCACGCTGCCCAGGGAGGTGGTGGAGTCCTTGTTCCTGGAGGTGTTCAGGAAACGTGGAGATGTGGCACTGAGAGATGTGGTCAGTGGCATGGTGGGATGGGCTGATGGTTGGACTAGATGATCTTAGAGGTCTTTTCCAACCTTAATGATTCTATGATTGGCTGCTATGCATTTAAAAGAAAACAATACTATGCTGAACTGTGAGCTATTGAATAATGAATTCTGTTATTTTATCCTGGCACAGATTTAGGAGCATTCTGAACATTGCATTTATTTTTTGAATGCCTGAAGTTGTAGCTCTACTTGTTTGCAAAGAACAAGCAAAGCAATTCTACAAAATTCCAGGAATCAAATTCATGCTGTTTTGTTTATACTTATTTACCAAATCTGTTTCCATTTTCTGACTAGCTCTCATTGTAACTAGAGTTTATCAACATTTTTCAAATACCAACATTTCAGTGCAACAGATTTGTTTGGGGGGAAGAAGAGGAAATGTTCATTTCATTCCAAAAAAGAAGACTACTTATGAGTCAAATCGTTCCATCTGATTTCTATAAAGCTCTATTTTCAATTATTATTTCACACATCTCGCAGGTTTCTGGGCAGAATCAGATAGTTTTCAAGACATTTCCAAGAGGCCCCTTAAGCTGTTGAACAACTGCAAATTTCACTCGTTTCTGTTCATCAGAATGATGTTTCTTGAGTTTCCCTATGTAGGACAAGCACTTCATTTCTTTTCACATCTTTAGTGCTTCCAAGTTTGATTATTATTTATTGTGAAATTATCTAGAGTTGTAAACTTACATGGATGCCCTGAAGGCTTTAAAGAAACAATACAGAAAGGATCAGAACAAAATCAATATATTCTTCTCATTGCTTGGAAGGTGATACGTCATGTTATCAGCTTTACTTCTTATCCTGACCTGTTTCCCTACCTGATTGCAATCACTGATGTACATGGTACGAACAACCTGTGGCACAGGCTTGTCTATAATTTCTCATTCTTATTGAATCCAGTAAATGCCAAAGAATGTGAATGAGCTTTGGTGAAGTGGTACCTGACTTACAGCCGTGGTAGGTGTAGAAGTGAGCCTGGCCCTTATGGCTGGGACTGCTGATCTCTAGCATTACTGATTATTTAATATCAAACATTTCATGTCTGAAATAAGTTTGCCGGTAGTTTGACTTAACAAGTACGGTCTGTACAGCCCACATACTTTTAAAATAATTATTTTCCTCCCACAGCTATTAGTGAAAACTGTGACATCTTCCCCTTGTTCACAGTGATATGTCATCTCTGCTGCAGCACCAGATGGTCCAGGAAAATGAGCAGGAGAAATAAGCGTGTCTATTTTCCCCTTCCTTAACACGGCAAGAAAATAAATGTGAAATAAAGAATGTGTTACCTGTGCTAGGATAAAGCCTCCAGACATGATGGCTCTCTCTGCCAATTTCCTGCTCTGTCCTCTCCATCAGTGCTGCTGTTGCTGGCAGGTGAACTACATCAATAGATTTGTCCGTTTGCCAAGCCTGCCTTCCTTGAGGTTCAGATGCAGGAAACACAACCCAGCCATTGTTTTTTGTTAAAGATTGTTGTATATCATATATCCCACCTGACCCAGCCATGACTGAAGTCTTCTGTTGGAATTTGGAAAACTAACTTTGATTCCACTATGGGGATCCCAAATGACCTTAAATTGTGTTCATGCCTTGTGCTCCTCCAGTTGCAGAAGACAACGATTCTCATTTTTCTTCTTGCTTAGAGACAGGGAATAGGTATGGCACTGGAGTCAGGTAGCCAGGTAAGAGTGAGAACTCTTCCCATGCCTAAAAAGCATTTTGTACACTCACACCTGTGAAACAAAACTTGGAAATGTTGGAACACAGTGAAAGAAACTCTACTTACATGTGCAGGCAGCAGACATAGTAGTTGTGAGGTTTGTGCCATTACCAGACTAAGAAGTGATGCCATGCCATCCATGACTTTTCTTTGCCTGAAAACTGAAGATGGCAGTAAGTCCTAGCAAATATCCTCTGGTTGTTACTGGATTAATAACAGAAGGCCTTTTACTGACCCTCACTGCTTTGCCTTGAGGGTTGAAGACCTTCTTTTCCAGGGGTGCTGGATGAGCATTCTCCAGTCTCATATACCACCCAACTAGGAGGGTCTGGAGATTTGGTGTCACCTGCTGAAGTGTTCCCAGGTCCAGATTTACTTTTATTCAGTTTGAGTACACAGGAATGAAGGAGAAAAGAAAGGGGAGCTGATGGCCTTCCTGGTTCTCCTGCAACCGGGGTTTCCTCATGCACTGAAAACATTTCACACACAACTCCCTTGCAAGAAGCTTGTCACCCAGGTTGGAGCAAGAGTGAATTAAAGGCAACTTGGCCATTAGCTCCACATAGCACCTTCCCTTTCACTATGTCTTTCCTTTCAGCTTGAGCTAGAGTAACTAAATCAGCCGATAATCCAAACTTTCTTAACACTACTGCCTTAAATCACCACCCCAGCTAGCTAACTTTGCTAGGTGCAATCACATCTTTCATGGTAGATGTGTCTTTTGTGTCCTGGCAGAGGTTCCAGTCTCTCACTTTGATTTGCTTGCATGGGACGTAACAGCATCCATGAAGATATGAACATGAAATTCAGCTGTGAATAGTCTGGCCTCTTGTTTTATTTTGCTGCCTGCTCATCGAAATGTTTGTTAATCCTCAAGTTATCTTCAACTTCTGCACCAGTGATTACATGTGTCAGAGTTTCCTAATACATGTTTCTTATTCTCTCCCTTGAAAGCCCTGTCATTTATCAGATAATAGAAACAGTATGACTGAAATGAACTGCAACCCAATATGGATATAAAATATTCTGGGTGAGCATCTTATGAAGAAAAAGGTCCTGAACTTCCTCCAGTGATAGCTTGACAAAAAAATAGGAATAAAGAGCTGTTTTCCAAAAGCACAGATTGGGTCATAAGTATTTTCTAGCCCAAATTACAGCTGTTTATTTCTTCTCACAGCCGCCCATCACAAGTGGTTTGAGCACTCACCCATAGTTCTTATTCTTGGCAAAATGCCATGCTTCCATTTTCTTTTCATTACTGACCTACAATAAATTGTACTGATGTCCCAAATGCAAAAATCTCACCAGTCCATTATCAGTCCCTAGAGCCATCCTTTTACATGTAGTTAAACTTGGATCTCTCGCATCTCCGAGGCCTCTCTCATTTTCAGACCATTTTCCATTTAGATTGACTGAAGCTCTGAAAGGCTAAATGACTTGGCCAGGGTCATCGAGTGAGTATGTGGCTGAGCAAGAGATCCCCTATGCATGATGACACCTATAACCTTCTCCCCAACCCAAGCCCCCAGCCCCGAGTCCTCAAGCAGTATAAAAGGATTTTATAGGCAAAACATCAGCTCACGGCAAATTGCAGATCCTTAAATAGAGGGGTTTATAATGGAAATACTAAGAGAAATCTGACTGTAGCAGTGGAATAGTAGTAATGCATTACTTATTCCATTAATGGCTGTGTTCTTAATAGAAACAGGTTCATTACATGGTAAGGAACAAAGTTTGCATTAAATAGAAACATCATTTGGTGTTTTATTGATTAAAAGGAGATTAGATTTCCATGATGTTCTTTAGCAAATAGGATGCCTCGGAGGAAATGTATATATTTATATTATAAGGAGGAGGGTTTTATTACAGCATAATGGAAAGAAAATGTATCTCATAATGATAGTTTATATCACACAAGGGATCTGATAACTAAAAGTTTAACTCTTAACCTAGCATTGGCCCTGAAGTCTGTATTAATGGAAAAGTAAGGTTTTCTGTTGGATAGCCTATTGTTACTGCTGCATGTGACAGCAAGGTTAGACCCTCTCAGCTTGACTAAAAGGCACAATCAAATCTGTCCCTGAAGACTGCAAAACTGGCTTACATGGAAGGGGAGAACAGAGAGGGCAAATTACTACACTGAAATATTGGCATCAGCAGAAACATAATCATCTCCAATCAAAGAGTATGTGGTGTACCCTTGTTTCTCCCTGGATCCTTAATGGTATAAATATCAGCAATGCTAATTACACACCAACTAGTTCTTTCATGTGCCTTACAGACACATGTGGCTTAGAAAATGTGTCTTTAATAAGTGTCAGGGGCAGTGGGGGAGGGGCTGAATTTCAGCTGCATAAGAGCCACCCTTCTCTCATTGCAAAGGGTTTAACTGCTGATACCATGGTGCTGATGTGAATGTCTGGATGGGTAGCCTTACTTGAAAGCAAACACCTTTGTCACCCAGGTTGGAACAAGAGTGAATTAAAGGCAACTTTGGAGATTAGCTCCACATAGCACCTTCCCTTTCACTATATCTTTCAGCTTGAGCTAGAGTAACTAAATCAGCCTATAATCCAAACTTTCTTAATGCTACTGCCTTAAACCACCACCCCAGCTAGCTAACTTTGATAGGTGCAATCACATCTTTCATGGTAGATGTGTCTTTTGTGTCCTGGCAGAGGTTCCAGTCTCTCACTTTGATCTGCTTGCATGGGACGTAACAGCGTCCCACTGTGCATGTCCAGTTTTAGCAGAGATACTCCAGGTGATAATGTTTAAATGAATACCCCAAAGTGGTTGGGCTATCTGAAATAATACTCCTTTTCCTTCATGTGTGTCCTCCCTGAGATCATGTCCCTATATGTCTTCATTCACAGGTACGTGGCTTGAGCGAAAACCCACTGCTGTTCTGTCTGCCAAGAGTCAAATCCATCAGGTCAGCCAACAGTTAATGGTAAAGCTCCCATTAGCTTCATTGAGACCTAAATAATTCTGAGGAGTTCAGTTAATGTTAATAGATGTCTAATGCCAGTAACTAACAATATACCTTTAACAAGCTAGTAATTTCTTGACAGATGTTGGACTAGTAAATATTCCAGTGGTCTTTGTTGATAGATGTTTGACAGCTTTGGAAAAATGTCTCTCAAGGCAAAGAAAAATGGCTTTCCACCAGCCGCCCTGCAGATGGTCAGGTTTTACAACTTGGCTGTATTTTGATGCCCTTTTTTTACTTTTTACTACGGCTGAAATATGCAAGATAGGAAGGAAATACAGAAAATGTAGTTTGGTTGGCTCTACCATTCAGCCAGAACACAATATTATGGTTCCTAAGTGCTTACTGGCAAGTATGGTCTGTTCATTTCTAGTCTCTATGTTTTTTTTCTCTAAGGGCCTGAAAAATAGGGCTGAGGATTCCAATGCCTTAATTTGAGCTTTTTCCAGGCAGCAGGCAGCAGCTCTAACTACTCTTTCACCAAGTGAAAAAATCAGGAAATTAGGAAAAAAATTATTCTCAGAAAATCTTATGATACATTGGAACAGGCCGTCCAGGAAGGCGGTAGAGTTACCATTCCTAGACGTGTTCAAGAACTGAAGAGATGTGGCACTGAGGGCTGTGAGTTAGTGGGTATGGTGGGACGGGTTGATGGTTGGGCTAGATGATCTTAGTGGTCTTTTCCCACCTTTATGATTCTATAATTCTGTGATTCGAAGTGATGTGTATAAGGCTCCAGCTGTCTGGAGATACAACGTTTCAGTGTGTCCAGGTGGGTGCAAGGTGTGAGGTCGGAAAAAAAGACTATTTTAGAGGTCTCCCAGGTCTTTAATATCTTTACATGAGAAGTGTTTCTTGCTGTGATGTTCATAATCCTTGAATCTAGAAAAGAGGCAAATCTGTTCAGAAAGATCTGCCTGAGTTTGAAGATAGCCTGGAAAAGCAAGTAAGATGGGAGCTGTGCTGATCTTTCAACTGGAAATACATACTTCATCCACTGCCTCCTATGGCCCAACTCTGTGTGTTGTCCATGTGCGCCACAAACAAGTTTTCAAAAGCTACACAGGATCACACAGGATGTAATCCAGCTGGTCTGCAGGTCATGACAATCATGACAACTGTAATAGGAGCGTGGAATAAGACAAATGCAGCTCTGGAAGATAGTGAGGCATTTCCAGATAAGAATGACAAAGTTTTGAACAATTTATGAAGCATTTTAATTTCTGCACAGAAATCAAGACGCTTCCATAAAAGGGCCTAAGGAGATGAAGAAGTTTGAATCTGTTTTAGACATAATTAGAGGTGAAGGTTGTTCCCAAGTTTTCACCCAAGGATCATAGTTTTCACCTGTGCCACACCTGAACTATGAGATCAGTGCTGCTTTCAGCCACCCTTTGTACTTGCCTACCTTTGACATGTAACATGCATGGGAAATCTCCTTCACTCACAGAAAGCTTGTTCACTAATCTCAAAGGGCAGATTTGGAAAAAACTGTTTCTATAGCCATGTCTACCTCCTGCCTGGCAGCCTGCCTTATGCTGCCTGGCATGAGCTCTACCTCCTGGGTATTGAGCACGCTCCCAATACTTACTGGTTTTATAGCAACAAGGCATAACAATGATATTTATATAGTCCAGCTTGGACATGATTCAGCTTAAAGCATGCTTTAAGGATTTTTTTCAAGGAAACCATTTTCATTTGGGTAATGTTGAAAGTCTGCTCAGTGCATTTCATGGTGCTAGACCTGGACAGGAAAATGGCTGATTCGATGCGTCTATGAATTCCGTGTGTTCACGAATCTACTGGGAAAATGCCAAATAACTTCCTGATCCAAACTTACCTGAAGATAAATGCTGCTAACAGTGTGCAAGAAAGCCCTGGCCTTGTTTTTTAGGGGTTTGTCTGGCACGGGAATAGGGAATTGGCTGGAACAGGGGCAGAGGTCAACAGCACAGGATGCATCTCTGGTGCTTCTTCATTAGTGCCCCAAATTGGCCACCACTGAGGATGTGGCCATGGCCATAGAACTCACAGCTATATTTCACCAAAGGACAGGATTTTGTTATGATGGGGATCAGGCAGAGCAGAGAGGTGCAGCTTGCCCTGGGTAGGGGTCTCTGAACTAGTCACCCAAGGCTTCCTCTATCATCAATGGAGAAAAATTGGTGTGATTTATTTAACCCTAAGGCTGTCCATTGTAGGATGAGCCAAACTGCACAATAAAAGTGTCTGCTTCACTGCAGGGATATGGAGGAGTCAGGCTGTTCAGCTCCGATGGAGACATTCACACAGCCAGGGCTAACATGGGTCAGACGAATCTCTCCCACCAGGCTTTGGACACTCATCTTACTCAGATGGCTGTTAATGTGCTGGCTGGACCCAGCAGTGTCAGCGCAAGCCAATGATGATGCTTTGCAATGTGTCACTCACTTCTTTGAGAGCTGTGCTCTTTGCAATACTGACTGGAGATGATTCCAGCAAGTTAGATTTTTCATTTGTTGATTTCCACTGCATCAGAAATATAGCAGTAAAATACAACTTTTTCTTATTGTGTTTATTTTTGCAGCATGAAGTATAAGTAGTTACCCTGCAAGCTGTTGCTGAAAGCAATCCTCATATGCTGTGCAGATAAAAATGAGTATTAGGTGGGATTGGTTGAGATGCAGAGAAGAAAAAAAAACATGTTTAAAGACCTAATGCTTATGTCTGTGCTCACAAATATAACAAAACCAGAGCCTATGGTCTGATCTTGAAAGCCACTGGCATCTCATGGCTCATGCTTATGCAGCTAAACTCTCTCTTACAGACAGAAATTGGCAATTCCCTACAGCTTCCTGAAAGGATGTTGTAATGAGATGGGAAATGGACAAGAGGCGATGGCCTCAAGTTGAGCAACGGGAGGTTCAGGTTGGATATTAGGAAAAAATTATTCTCAGATGCAGTGGCACAGGCTGCCCAGAGGGGTGGTGTCACTGTCACTGGAGGTGTTCCAGACCATGGAGGTGTGGCACCAAGGGACGTGGTCAATGGGCATGGTGGGAGGGTTGGGATTGGACTTGGTGATCTTAGAAGTCTTTTCTAACCTTCATGATTCCATGATTCTAACTGGGATATGACATATTTTACCCAAACTTTCCTGACCAGCCGTGAGCACTGGAGACGCTTTTGGTGACAATTCCATGGTTCTGCAGGAGTGTCAGTCTTCACAGTTCAGCTGAATGAATGTGCTAATCAATATCTGTGAAGCTTTATATCTGGCCTCTGACTGATATTTTAAAGAGCATAATTTTGTCATCATGCTTATTGCTAATAACAGTGACAAATAGTGACAGTTATAATATCTTGTGAGTAGCTGGCATGTAACAGAGACACTGCAGATGGGAATTAGTCCATTTCCAAAGCAACAACTCCAAAGATGACAAGTAGGCATCAGAGAAGAGGATGAAGGCACCTGTAACTTGTCGATGCTGAAAAATAGTAAGGAGAGATTGTCTGAAGAAGTGAGATTTAAAGACAGATTTGGATGTGTGAAGATAGAGGCCCAGATTCTCAACTCTTCCCAGCTGCTCTCAAGATACAACACAGCAATAAAATTAGGATCTGAAGTTCTGGATGGCACAGAACTGAGAGATCTCTGTTTTCCTTTGATGCTCTTGCTAATCACTTCAGAAGGATAAAGCCAGCAGCCCTACTTGCTTTAGGATCAATTTCTGACTGATTTGAGTTGGAAGTTGGAAGAGCACATAGTCATTGTATTTCCCTTTGTCTATCTACTAGAATATTTCAGTGGACCACAGTGGGCCCAGGGAACTTGCTGCTGCAAAATAATGGTTTGTACAGCAAAACAAAGATGAGAATGGGAAAATGTAGAATTAAGAAGATCTAAATATTTACAGAGAAGTGGAGAAAAAGGAAAGATGAGATCAGAGTCACTATAGAAGGAACAAACTGTATTTTCCCTGTCCCCTTACTGCATCTGCTAACTAACACATTCTCTCTCTCCTTTTCTCACTTTCATTTTCTGCACAACTCAATGATGAAACTGCTCATGACTTTATTTTTGGCATTCCAATGTCTGTGTCCACATGAATTTTACTCATCTGTATATCTCAAACGAATGAGATATGAAATGTAATTAAGCAAGCAAATTAAATTAGCGTGATTTGTCCTGTCCTTGTTCTTTGCCTCAAGTCCATCTCTTACACGTTTCCATGAATTATAGTTTCTGTGGGGAAGGAGATTGAAGGCCTAAAGAGAATAATGTGTTAAAATTAGCATGGTGCTGAGACGAGATCCTTGATTTAGGCGCATCTCACATTAATGGCATTAAAAGGCCAAGCTCCATCACACCTTTTGAGCAGCAACTATTTCTGGGCTATACTTACTTGAGAGAAGAAATGAATGAGGAGAGATGAAGGTGTGCAAAGTATCTACTCAGTTTCCTCCAATGTATGTTCTTGCAGCTCAGCCCTGTACTTCAGCCACCATGTGAATGGTCAGGTTGGGTGAGTAAAGCAGAGGAATGGTGGCATGACTCAACACACCTCTTGGACTTTGAGGTGCAGAGAGAAACTTCAGGTGAATTTCATCACACTTGGAGTGGGAAAGTTACTCTTGATGTTTTCCCTTCACTTCCACTTAACTTCTGTCTAATATCTGTGCTATAGTCAAGTTCCTGGCAAACCTACACAATCTGAGCTCTCTCCGTTTAAATCCTTTTCCTTTTTTCTACATCCTTCTCAGCTCTCAGCCTTCTTTAAGACATGATGGTTTCTTGCTTTACAGTGCCATCACTGAATTACACATAATGCCAGGTACTGTTCTCCTCCAGCTTTTGAGTTCATCCTGTGAGCTATGTGAAATCTATTAGATGTACAGTCCTCACTGACCTGTTATTATTAAGGAAATGTTATTAACTTAATCTAGATTACATAAAGAAGTGA